CGGTAAATACACAGCAGTGGAAACTTATGTCTTCAGAAAGTAACTCTTTCCTTCACCTTGAATTTGTACAATGCAGAATGGAATCCAAAATCTACCTCCCTCGATATGGCATTCTCTGCCATACATCAAGGGTGTTTCAGAAGCGACCGAGCTCATTGCTGCGGAGCTAGGTGTTGGAATTGCACACCGCCCCAAAGTCACCATGAGCAGCAGGGTCATGAAAATCAAAGACCGGTTAAAACTTGAAGAGCAATCTGGAGTAGTGTATCGCATTCCGTGTCAAATTTGTCCTTGTAAATACACAGGACAGACTGGACGCATACTCGGATCGTGCATACACGAACATAAGCTGGCTGTGCGGCGAGGCGACGCATTATCACAAATGGCTGCCCACACCTACGAAATGGGTCACGAGTTTGACTTCGCAGCCACCAAAATAGTCGCCCACGCCGGAAACAAAACAGGCCGAGAATTGATTGAAGCCTGGGCCTCGGATGAGAACTCGGTCAATCGATTTATCGATCTGGCGCTGACGTACAGAGCCCTTCGTAGTCACCTCCAGTCGTGTGACGTCGGTCGATGATTGTGCCTACTTGCCTTATAACTGTCGCCTATCCTGTTTCTGCCACTACCTCTCACGATGGACTCCTGTACGAGTCTGAAAGCTTAGGATAGTAAACAAAGTGTTCCGGTGCTCGACTCTTCTTCTTCACTTCTACTTCCCTCTTTAAGTCTCACTTATTCCTCTGACTTCTGATTTCTGCGTTTTGCTACCGCGGTCATATCAGGCTGTTGGCCTGGATTACGCATGTTTGCGAGGATGAGGACAAGTTCTTATACTTCCTAACGGTCTGCCTTCTTTGTTGCCGGTGCACGCATGACCTTTTACGTGATCTCCGATCACATTAGATGCAAAGAAGTCCCATTCAGCAGTTATCCCTGCCTTGCAGACTAAAGTGTGGCAGTTAGCCTTTAGGACGTTTCGGCCCAGGTCGGTCTCAACAGCCGCCCGCAACCCTGTGTAGTGAGAAGGAAGAACTATTCAGAGGGGTTTCTCGCTGGCCAAAGTTCCTTCCAATGGCCATAAGTTACAATGTCCAACCGCAGTGAATTAGTACCAGTGTTCTGACTCGGCGGTTTACTAGATATGACGTACAGTTTCGATACCATCCACAAGTATGATGTGGAAAGCCGCACAGCAGGGCGGCGAAGAGCGACAGCGAATCCCTACTATTAAATGCTAAGTACTCAGTCGATAGCGCGACTTTCACAAACCATAATTCAGAAATTGGCTACGGTTGATCTATGTGAGCTAAGTGAGGTCTCGTGCTGATGTATTTTCTGTTACTTGCAACTGTAAAAGTGCATATAAGTGGGCATGTCGGAAACTGTGTTTCACATCATATTAGTGTGTTGTGGGGATTCCTTGTTTACAACAAACAAATAATGGTATCCTTCGATGTCGTTTCTCTGTTCACCTCCATACCATTGGATTTAGCAAGACAATGTACAGAGGAACGTCTCCAGTACTACGACATGGATATCCCTGCATCTGCTTTGTTAGAACTCTTAGACCTTTGTCTAGAAACGAACTTTTCATTTGCACAGGAATACTATCAACAGCTGAAGGGAGCCTCTATGGGATCACCCGTCTCCGGTTTTCTCGCAGAAGTCACGATGCAGAAATTAGAGGCTATCGCCTTACCACTAGTAAACCCCAAATTATGGGTACGATATGTTGATGACACGTTTCTCATTGTTAAAAGTGATCAACTGGAAATACTCCACAATACCATAAACTCAACACTTCCAGGAATCACATTCACACTCGAGAAGGAGGCTGACAACAGACTCCCATTTCTTGATGTCCTCGTAGAGAGAAAGCCTGACGGGACATTTCCTACTTCGGTTTACCGCAAAGAAACTTACGCGGAAGTCCCTTTGCATTACGAGAGCAATCACCCGATCTCTTACAAACGGAGTGCCGTGAACAGCCTCCTTAACCGAGCAAGAACTCACTGCTCCGACAGTGAAACATATCAAACAGAACTGAAGTATTTGTTCAAACTGTTTTCCCAGAATAGGTATCCTAGGTATTTTGTACACCGATGCATGCGACGACAGTAGTTATAAGAAAAAGAGAAGGAACTAGATTGTTCCGATCAGGCGCCCAAACCAAAAAACTGGCGAACACTTCCGTACATTAAGAATGTATCCGAACTAGTTGAAAGACACCTGAGGAAACACCAAATACATGTGGCGAACAAGCCGACGACTTCACTTCGCAACCAGCTTGTACACCCTAAGGATAGGGTTGGCTATTTAGATAAGAAGGAAGTCGTCTATAAGATACCATGCAACACCTGTAATGCAGTTTACTGTGGTCAAACTGGGAAATCGGCCTCTACGCGAATACACGAACATCAGTTGGCCGTAAAAAGGCGCGACCACTTGTCCCAAGTTACCATGCATACGCTGGAAACGGGACACAAATTCGCCTGGGACAGGACTCGCATTGTAGGTGTCTGCTCATCCAAAAAGGACCGTGAATGTTTAGAGGCCATCCATTCTGCTAGCGCATGCATCAATCGACATGTAGAATTGGATACGGTGTACAACAGCCTCAAGGAAAAGTGGAAAAGGCGTTAGCCAATCAGAACATTACACCAGCAGGTGTGACAAGGCAAAATCGATTTTTTTCGACGTGTTTAAATGTTAACTGTTTTGCACACTTAATTCACGTCTGAAGACGATTTGGGGAACCAAGATCGAAAATTTACAATAAAACTTGTTTATCTTTCCCAAAGAGCTTATTTCTTTCGAATAACAAATAAATGGACGGCTTCAAAACTGACTTTTGCATTTTATCATTTTACATAAAAGAACAACTCACGTTTTAAATAAGTTTCGATTCTGTGTTTTTGACGACGTGAAACTTTACGAGAAATGACCCCGAATAGGTTCATTAATTCGGAGTTTTTATTTTTTAAGTACATGGAGTATGCGTAGGCTGGCGAAAAGCACTAATAACTCAGAATTCGGTTCGAACGTTCGCAAGCAATGACGCCCACCTCGTGTCCCAAGGACTGTAACTTGGACTTGCGTAGCACCTACTGCACTCCCTCTCCTCCTTTCCTTCGACGACAAGACGATGTCAAAACAGCTAGAGGTGGGCAGGGGTGCAGTGAACAACAGAGTTGAACAACCCGTCTACGCGTGCCACACACGATCCGGCCCCCACTGCATGTACCAGACTCCTGTAGGGGCGGTCTGCGTCTCACATCACTGAGAACACCATCGAGGTTGCATTGAGGAGCCGGCACCCAGTCACTCAAAAATACCCCACTATGAATCGAGTTATCCTGTCGTTTGGTAGCCTTCTAAACCATGAATTGTAGCTTGTCGTCATAGATTTGACCGCGTTGCTAGGGCCATTTAAAAGAAAGCGGAAACACCAGATGAGTAAACGCAGTTTGTAGAAGCATGTTTTCATACAAACAACCATACAACCAGGGAGACGCTGAAGGGCCCTTTCTGATAATCTTTCATCTGACTCCGTGTTGGTTCGAGTGTGAATCCGGAACTTCAGGCAATTAAAGCTCCAATCGTGTCACCTACTTCGCAATCCTTGAATATATTCGATGAGGTTTTCGGAAACTTGGATAATGGCAGAGCCCCAGAGGTTAAGGTGTTTCATTTCCGAATCGTTGAATATGCGACTGACGGCGGTCGAATACGATGTAGTCCAAATTACCGGATTCAGGCGCCTCAGAAGGTCATAAGCCGAGGGGGAAGGGGCGGTTGGACACTAAGAAATCTGAATGCGATTGGCAAATTCAATCACGTGTATGTCATTTCATTGTGCAGGAGAAAAACCTTCTTCATTAAAAGTAGTATGTGCTATCTGGCATCAGTAGAGTTCGATGGGTCTCATGGTGTCCTTAAAATTCTAGGGAATACTCGTAGTCTTCAGTGTTTCTACTCGATTGACCCAGAAGATAGCTTCGGTTACTTATGGTTATCATAATTTCTAAATAAAGCCACTATTTTTAAATTTTTTTATCTCTACAATGAGCTCTTGGATGTTCTCTTTCTGCAGATGACTACATCAGTCGTCCTTTTAGGTCCACCTTAAACATGAGACCTAACTGCCCAGGCAAATGGACGTCTACAATAAAGGTCTGTGTTGAGCATACATTTGATCAAATTAAACACATTCCCTGTTTTTTGTTAGGGTATTTCACACAGGAACGTCGGTCTTCTTCGTCTTTTTTCACAGTGAAGTAAGGTAGATAATTAAAACAAATTGAATGCATCTTCAAAACGACGTTTTAACAGAACACAGATGTCGTGTTTTCCCAAAAACTAGCTTGCGTATTCACGTACTGCCTCACATAATTTGTTCAAACTGAAACTTTAAGTTTCCACTTGGCAATGGTTACTTTAGTGAACCTTTCTCCCTTATATTGATGCCCTCTTCTAAAGAAATGCGTGCAAATATGCGGCCGTGGGGACTGCCTGAATATCAAACAAGACTGACATCCGCCTGAAAAAGTGCATTTAAATAAGCTGAATGCATATTCAAATCGCCTTTTTAAAAGAACTTAGGTAGCTTGTTTTCCTGAAAAATAGCATGGTTGTTCACTTTCTGTCTCACATGAAAATTCACCATTCTACTTAGTGATGGTTATTTTAGTGGAGAAATGCGTGCAAATGTGCGACCGTGGGACTGTCTGGATGTAAAACAGAACTGACTTCCGTTTAAAAAAGTGCATTTCATCATTAATTAGATAAAGAAGCAGCCTGTTTTTGTGGAACGGATTGAGCCACCGGATCTGGCACCTGGATTTCGACTGTCGTGTGTCATGAATAGAATCACCGACTGCTAACCGAATTAAGGAACCGAAAAAGAAATGAAATTAGGAAGAACACTGACTTGAAGCGACTTTCCTAGACGACATTTTTTAGCCAGTTAAATAAAATGGATGTACCTCTGCCAGATGCCAGTGAACCTGTTCATTGATGATGATGATGATGATGATGATGATGATGATGACGACGATGATGATGATGATGATGATGATGATGATGATGATGATGATGATGATGATGATGATGATGATGATGATGATGATGATGATGATGATGATGGTGGCGGTGGCGGTGGCGGTGGCGGTGGCGGTGGCGGTGGCGGTGGCGGTGGCGGTGGCGGTGGCGGTGGTGGTGGTGGTGGTGGTGGTGATGATGATGATGATGATGATGATGACTCTGCCGTCGCGTCCGACGATGGCCCTCGTGTTCTCCAGAACGAGCTGAAGCAGTCGCGGTGACTTACGTTTGAATTGGCCAATAGTGACAGTAGACTTGCGCAGCATCTACCGCTCTCGCTCATCCCACTCCCAACCTGGACCCGGTGTCAAGACAGGGTCAAGAAGACCTGAGGCGGGGGAGGGCGCAGGTGGCTGGCACGGCGGGGTCCGCACCTATGCGTACCACCACACCTCCTCGTCCACAACATACACTTGACAGCCAAAACCGAAACAACAACAACAACAACAACAACAACAACAACAACAACAACAACAACAACACCCAACAGGGGCCAGAAGGACGAGGATGATGACTGGGCAGCCATGCCCACCATCTGTATACCCAGAGGGGGCACGAGCGCATATACCGGCAGGGAACCAGGTGCCTGTGAACTGCCAACGCACACCCGGCCGCATGGGCCATGGTTTGTTGATCATGACATAACGGGCGCTTCCAATCCCTGAGGTCCAGAGGGGTGATACGCGACCCTGCATGGGCCGTCATCCTTCAAAGGCTGAGTAACCACTCACTCAGCCAGTGAGAGGCACTACGCGCACTCTCCACACATACATGGGTGTCAGAGGTCACTTTAAGAAGGAGTCTTGACGGCCTTGCTCTCAATACACCAGTCCGCCACTCCATACAACACGCGTGGACTGATTTGGGGCGTCAATCGGCTGCCTTCCAAGCCACGACGCTTGACGCACCAACTCAGACTCCAATCACACATGCGGCATAGCAGCCGCATGGAGAGGGAGTCGAGACACAGCCTTGCCACTTGCGTGGGAGGTGGCAGTTGGGTGCTTGCAGTGGGTGGCAGCCTTATTCTCAGCCCACCAGTCCTCC